TCCTTTTATCTCTTGACTCCCTACTTTAGCATTCCAGTCCCCTAGAATGAGAAGAACATCTTTCTTTGGTGTCAGTTCTAGAAGGTGTTGTAAATCCTCATAAAATAGTTCAATTTCAGTCTCCTCAGCAATGGTAGTTGGTGCATAAACTTGGATGATTGTGATGTTGAAAGGTCTGCCTTGGATTCGTATTGACATCATTCTATCATTTTTGAGATATCCCATTACAGCTTTTCTCACTCTTTTGTTGACTATGAGAGCTACTCCATTCCTTCTACGGGACTCTTGCCCACAGTAGTAGATATGATAATCATCTGAGTTGAATTCACCCATTCCTGTCCATATTAGTTCACTGATGCCCAGGATGTCGATGTTTATTCTTGCCACCTCCAGCTTCCCAAGGTTCATAGATCTTACATTCCAGGTTCCTATGCAGTATTTTTCTTTGCAGCATTGAACTTTCCTTTCACTTCCAGGCACGTCCGCAGCTGGGCGTCCTTTCAGCTTTGGCTCAACCACTTCGTTAGCTCTGGAGCTACTTGTACTTATCCTCCGCTCTTCCTCAGTAGCCTGTTGGACGCCTTTCGACCTGAAGGGCCCATCTTCCAGCGTCATATCTTATAGCCTTTTGTTTCTGATCATGGGGCGTTCTTGGCAAAGATACTGGAGTGGCATTGCCAGTTCCTACTCCAGGTGGATTGCGTTTAGTCGGAACTCTCCACTATGACCTGTCCATCTTGGGTGGCCCTGCACGGCATAGCCCATAGCTTCTCTGAGTTACTCAAGCCCCTTCGCCACGACAAGGCAGCAATCCATGAAGGAGTTTACGGTCATTATGGTTATGCAAATGATAATAATAATGATTATAATCTTAGAACTGCAGAGCTGGCCTGTTTAAGATACAGATCTGGTTATGAAATACAGTGTGTTAACCTATATGAGTAGCCTGAAGACATGGAAATTGATACAGTTTTGAAAAAACTTTAGAACTAGTGCTGACTTGAAAATAAGTGGCTAAATAATAAAGTAAATGGTGATTTCTGAAACTTTTGTGTGATATCTGCCAGAAGTAAATTCTATCGTATCTATTATATTATATTTTAAAAAGTACTGCCACTTAGTGAAATCTGTCTCATGAGAATTGTTTTTATCCCATCTCAGACTTAACATTCCCATAATTCCATGAAAAGGACAAAGTTGCACAGAGTAGCTGTTACACGTGCAGACATCCCCACCTCCTAGAAAACAGTAGTCACCATGTTTCCCTGAAAATAAGATAGGGTCTTATATTAATTTTTGGTCCAAAAAACTCAGTAGGGCTTATTTTCTGGGGATGTTTTATTTGTTTTCATGTTCAACAATCTACATCTATTCAAATACAATCATGTCATCTTCTGGTTCCTACACGATGGTGGAGAGCGGAGTTTCACTTAACTAGGACTTATTTTTTGGGTAGGGCTTATATTACGAGCATCCTGAAAAGTCATGCTAGGGCTTATTTTCAGGTTAGGTTTTATTTTCGGGGAAACAGGGTAGGAGGGTCAGCTGCCATCAGTGTTGATTGGCTACTTCAAGTGAGGATAGCAGCTGTTCCTGT